ATCATTATATCCAACGTCCGAATGCCCAATTGACCAACCAAATCCAACTAACCATTGGTCAGATTGGATATCCGGCGGTTGGCACAACACTGCGTCTAGGTCTGTAATTCGTTGTGCAGTAATTCTTGTCATAGCACAGCGATGCATTTAACACATTTTTAGCAAGTGTCCACTTCAGTGAATATCTTAGATCTCCAGCGGGTTTTTCGTCTATCCGACTACTCCGGGCTTGCCTGTCCGCGACGCGATATCTTCCCGGAGCCCAATATTGATTATGTGCACTACTGCAGTGATCTGCGCCGGGAAAAGTGAGGTCGTCAAGCTGAATTCTGGTATCGCCGGCGTTCCTCAGGCTGTCTCGTGGCTATTCTAGACCATTGCGGGTACCTCTTGTCGGCCTCATCAAGCCGTTATGTTTAACTGCAGTGAGTAAATTCTCTTCAAGCGGTGTCATACGTCTCATTTGTGTCAAGATTTTGGCCGCCCTGCTTCAGCATGGCTCCTGCCTGCGGGAATCCCTACGGCGGCATTATGCTCTCATTCCGCATAGTCAATACCAAGCCGGCACCGTCTCAGGGGCACACGCATCGGGGAGCGGGTAACTGTCTCCATTTTTCATGTCCAAAATTTGATATCTAACTACGCCGTGGATATAAAGAGCGTGCCATGCTCGTAGGCCACCTAACACCGGGACTCCTTCAACATGCTCGCTCAAGCTGTTTTCTCCGCTCTTCTTACAGTCTTATCCATCTACAGCGGCGTCACAGCTCTTCCTCAGAAAAGAGACATCTATGCTCCTAGCCCCATTCTACCTGATTCCGGATCCATCTGGACGATTGGCACTTTACAAGTCGTAACTTGGTGAGTCTTGAAGCACCCCGCGCAAATACGACTATATGAATAGCTAACCTTTCTGATAACCAGGGACGCATCCACGGTGCCTGATGGCACAGAAACCATTCCGTGGATCGACCTCTACGAAACTTCGCCCTACGGGAGTGCCGAGTATGTCACCACTCTAGCGCAGAACGTCGACGCACACGCGGGCCAGGCAGGCATCGTGACACCCGACGTGGCCCCCGGGTCCTACTTCGTCATGGGTATGGCACCCACTTTTCTGCGCAGCGGAACGGTGAACTTACGCATGGTCGATTCAAAGCCGGTGCTTGGGGCCAGAGCAGCGAGCACTTCGAAATCGTCGCATCCCCGTACGTCCCGAACATCCTGAGCCCGAACTCGGACACAGTGTGGACCATCGGCAGCCAGGAGACGATCAGCTGGTCAGCAGTCATTTTTCATCTCGCTGGCCTGGTGCACCTGAATAACTTTCATCGTATAACTTAGGGATACGTCAAACCTTCCCGACCACGTGGGCCGGATCCCGCAGTTTGAACTCTGGACGGCCGCTTCGTACGGCGACGGTATCTACGTGGCTACGCTTGCAACCGACATTGACCCCGCCCTCGGTGATGTGATAATAACTGTTCCGACTGACATCACACCAGGGACCTACTTCGTCGTTGGTACGTGCTTCGTTTCAAGTTCACGACTTGTATGAAGACGTTGACCGAACGCTACTAGTCATTTTTGGAGACAACACCGGCTATGAGTTCCAAATCGTAGCCGCTTGATACTAAGGATCTTGGCACTGTTTGTCGGAATATTGATGGTCATATTTCGGACTATATCGTGCGAGTATTATATCCAGTATCTGTGCATTTCACTCCCACAACTGTACGTGCGCCGCCTTTGGCTGTGATTTTCTACAACACCGCAGGATACATCGCGTATGGAAGCACTGATACAAGCAAACGTTCAACCCGGGGCGCTGTGCATGTGTACGGAACGACGCTGCATAGAATGACATGAGCATATATTCTCCGGCGATGTGAAGGGATCTGCATACCACACTAGTACTGTCAGTTCAGCCTAGGCAAGACCACCGCATTGACCTCAGTGAGCGGCAATGATATGCGTAGTGATAGGGCTAGTAGACGCAATAGATGTCGGGGAAGTCGGCGGGGGCATGGCGGTGCCGTTGTTTGTGATGGCTTAGATAGTGGATAGTGTAGTGGTATGTATAAGGTTATGAAGATAGAGCACAGCCCTACTAATGCGACCCCATATTCCCAAATTCCCAAATTCCCAATTCTCGAATCTCGATTTTCGACAGTCGAGTAAGGCTCCAACTATTTAGTTTATTTACTGTTTATAAACAGTAATAACTGTTTACGTTTATGATTATTTACGACCA